TGCTGGGTAAATAGAGGCTATAGTTAACAATTGACGCCCAGTAAATTCTCCCCGGTCAGGATACAAACCTAGGACAAAGCACTCGCGAAACGCCAGGCGAGTTTTACCACTTCTTCACGGTGACTGTGGAATTACAGTCACACACCTACACACATTACAGTACTTTTATTTCCCATCATATCTCATATTACCAATATTTTGACATTGTCCCCACCCTCTTTGATGTTTGAGAGGGTGACTTGACCTAGTGACGATTCCAAGGGTCAACGTTGCCCTGGTCAGTGACCAGGCAGTCACTGACCAGGGCAGTGACCAGGCCTGCTGATTAGTGATCTGGTCAACAAGGCTGCTCACAGCCTGACGTATGAGTCACAGGCTGGATGATCTGGTATCCTTTAAAGTTGTTCATCACGTTCTCTTTGGAACACAGAGTGGTTGGTCATTATACAATGTATGAGGCAATATAAACAAGTCAGTGCATCCAATACAAATCCCCCCCCATCTAGTGCAGCATGTGCGCACACACCCACCTATGCAGCATGTGCATGCACACACCCCACCTAGTGCAGCATGCATTATGTACAATCCCCACCCCCCCTCCAACACACACACACACACACACAGCACAGCATGCATAAGGCACAACCCCTCCCACCCAGGGAGCACCCATCATGTACAACCCTTCTAACTGGATGCAGCATGCATCATGCACTTATCCCTCCCCATTCAGTGTACCACACATCACCAAACACAACTAGGCGAGTACATGTATAACCCATTCACCCAATACAGCATGCATTATGCACATCCCCCACTTAGTCGGGGGTGGGGGGATGTAGTTGTTGCACAGCAGCAAGCACAAAGCTCCCCCGTGCTGCACAGCGGCAAGCACAAAGCTCCCCTGTGCTGCACAGCGGCAAGCACAAAGCTCCCCTGTGCTGCACAGCGGCAAGCACAAAGCTCCCCCGTGCTGCACAGCGACAAGCACAAAGCTCCCCCGTGCTGCACAGCGACAAGCACAAAGCTCCTCCGTGCTGCACAGCGACAAGCACAAAGCTCCCCCGTGCTGCACAGCGACAAGCACAAAGCTCCCCCGTGCTGCACAGCGACAAGCACAAAGCTCCCCCGTGCTGCACAGCGGCAAGCACAAAGCTCCCCCGTGCTGCACAGCGGCTAGCACAAAGCTCCCCCGTGCTGCACAGCGGCAAGCACAAAGCTCCCCCGTGCTGCACAGCGACAAGCACAAAGCTCCCCCGTGCTGCACAGCGACAAGCACAAAGCTCCCCCGTGCTGCACAGCGACAAGCACAAAGCTCCCCCGTGCTGCACAGCGACAAGCACAAAGCTCCCCCGTGCTGCACAGCGACAAGCACAAATCTCCCCATGCTGCACAGTAGGAAGCACAAAGCTCCCCTTGTGCTGCACAGCAGCAAGCACAAATCTCCCCATGCTGCACAGTAGGAAGCACAAAGCTCCCCTTGTGCTGCACAGTAGCAAGCACAAATCTCCCCATGCTGCACAGTAGGGAGCACAAAGCTCCCCCTGTGCTGCACAGTAGGAAGCACAAAGCTACCCCTGTACTGCACAGTAGCAAGCACAAAGCTCACCTGTGCAGCACAGCAGCAAGCTCAACGTTCTCCCTTGTGCTGCACAGCGTAGTGCATGTTGTGCCCCCCCCCCAAAGTGCAATACAGCAGCATGCACATAACATTCCCCCAAGTACAGTACAGCATCATGCACATAACACTCCCCCCCCCAAGTATAGTACAGCATCATGCACATAGCACTCCCCCCCTCCCAAGTATAGTACAGCATCATGCACATAGCACTCCCCCCCCCAAGTATAGTACAGCATCATGCACATAGCACTCCTCCTCCCCCCCCAAAGTACAGTACAGCATCATGCACATAGCTCTCCCCCCCCCAAGTACAGTACAGCATCATGCCCATAGCACTCCCCCCCCCCAAGTACAGTACAGCATCATGCACATAGCACTCCCCCCCCAGTACAGTACAGCATCATGCACATAGCACCCCCCCCCCAAGTACAGTACAGCATCATGCCCATAGCACTCCCCCCCCCCCAAGTACAGTACAGCATCATGCACATAGCACTCCCCCCCCAAGTACAGTACAGCAACATGCACATAGCACTCCCCCCCCCCCCAAGTACAGTACAGCATCATGCACATAGCACTCTCCCCCCCAAGTACAGTACAGCATCATGCACATAGCACTCCCCCCCCCCAAGTACAGTACAGCATCATGCACATAGCACTCCCCCCCCCCAAGCACAGTACATCATCATGCACATAGCACTCCCCCCCCCCCCCAAGTACAGTACAGCATCATGCACATAGCTTCCCCCCCCCCAAGTACAGTACAGCATCATGCACATAGCTCTCCCCCCCCTCCAAGTACAGTACAGCAACATGCACATAGCACTCCCCCCCCAAGTACAGTACAGCATCATGCACATAGCACTCTCCCCCCCAAGTACAGTACAGCATCATGCACATAGCACTCCCCCCCCAAGTACAGTACATCATGCACATAGCACTCCCCCCCAAGCACAGTACATCATGCACATAGCACTCCCCCCCCCAAGTACAGTACAGCATCATGCACATAGCACTCCCCCCCCCCCAAGTACAGTACAGCATCATGCACATAGCACTCCCCCCCCCCCCAAGTACAGTACAGCATCATGCACATAGCACTCCCCCCCCCAAGTACAGTACAGCATCATGCACATAGCACTCCCCCCAAGTACAGTACAGCATCATGCACATAGCACTCACCCCCCCCCCGCAAGTACAGTACAGCATCATGCACATAGCACTCCCCCCCCCAAGTACAGTACAGCATCATGCACATAGCACTCCCCCCCCCCCAAGTACAGTACAGCATCATGCACATAGCACTCCCCCCAGTACAGTACAGCATCATGCACATAGCACTCCCCCCCCCCCAAGTACAGTACAGCATCATGCACATAGCACTCCCCCCCCCCAAGTACAGTACAGCATCATGCACATAGCACTCCCTCCCCCCAAGTACAGTACAGCATCATGCACATAGCACTCCCCCCCCCCCCCCGCAAGTACAGTACAGCATCATGCACATAGCTTTCCCCCCCCAAGTACAGTACAGCATCATGCACATAGCTCTCCCCCCCCAAGTACAGTACAGCATCATGCACATAGCTCTCCCCCCCCCCCAAGTACAGTACAGCATCATGCACATAGCACTCCCCCCCCCAAGTACAGTACAGCATCATGCACATAGCACTCCCCCCCCCCCCAAGTACAGTACAGCATCATGCACATAGCACTCCCCCCCCAAGTACAGTACAGCATCATGCACATAGCACTCCCCCCCCCCCCAAGTACAGTACAGCATCATGCACATAGCACTCCCCCCCCCCCAAGTACAGTACAGCATCATGCACATAGCACTCCCCCCAAGTACAGTACAGCATCATGCACATAGCACTCCCCCCCCAAGTACAGTACAGCATCATGCACATAGCACTCCCCCCCCAAGTACAGTACAGCATCATGCACATAGCACTCCCCCCAAGTACAGTACAGCATCATGCACATAGCACTCCCCCCCCCCAAGTACAGTACAGCATCATGCACATAGCACTCCCCCCCCCCCAAGTACAGTACAGCATCATGCACATAGCACTCCCCCCCCCCAAGTACAGTACAGCATCATGCACATAGCACTCCCCCCCCCCAAGTACAGTACAGCATCATGCACATAGCACTCCCCCCAAGTACAGTACAGCATCATGCACATAGCACTCCCCCCAAGTACAGTACAGCATCATGCACATAGCACTCCCCCCCCCCCCCAAGTACAGTACAGCATCATGCACATAGCACTCCCCCCCCCAAGTACAGTACAGCATCATGCACATAGCACTCCCCCCCCCCCCAAGTACAGTACAGCATCATGCACATAGCACTCCCCCCAAGTACAGTACAGCATCATGCACATAGCTCTCCCCCCCCCCAAGTACAGTACAGCATCATGCACATAGCTCTCCCCCCCCCCAAGTACAGTACAGCATCATGCACCTAGCACCCCCCCCCCAGAACATTGTTAAGTATAACGAATACAAATCAGTGGCCTCCAATACAGCACCATGACCAGTGCCACAGAACCACGACCAGTGCAACACAACCAGTGCCACAGCACCACCACAACCAGTGCCACACCACCGCCACAACCAGTGCCACACCACCGCCACAACCAGTGCCACACCACCGCCACAACCAGTGCCACACCACCGCCACAACCAGTGCCACACCACCGCCACAACCAGTGCCACAACACCGCCACAACCAGTGCCACAACACCGCCACAACCAGTGCCACAACACCGCCACAACCAGTGCCACACCACCGCCACAACCAGTGCCACACCACCGCCACAACCAGTGCCACACCACCGCCACAACCAGTGCCACACCACAACCAGTGCCACAACACAACCAGTGCCACAACAGGAGCACCAGGGTGGTGGTGGTGGTGGTGGTGGAGGCCGCGTGCCGCGTGCTCACCACCCCTCCCCCCCACCACACAGCCGCCCACCACCCCCCCCTTCACGCCCGCGCCCTGCCACGTGCACCTCCACACGTGCTCACTCACTCACTCGCCGCCGCCGCACGCAACACACACAAACGTGTGTGTGAGGAGGTAGAAATAAATAAATAAAACCTGCGTAGGGGTTTGAGGGGGGTCGGCGGCGTTGCCAAGTCTAGGGTTGGCGTGCGGGCGTGCATGTGGGCGTGCGGGTGGCACGCCCGCCGCCACCACCTGGCCACCACCACCACACACGCCACCCGCAGCCCCCAGCGGGCGGGAAATACAAATACACTGACGTTTGAGCGTGTGACGGGAGGCTCGGGCAGGAGGCTCGGCCCGACACAAAGTAAGGTTCAATGACATGCTTAACTTCTCTCTCTCTCTCTGTCTCCTCCCGGCTTACCATATGTCTAGCTTCAGGAACTCCTCGGGCTTCTTGTTCTTCTGCTCCGCCTTCAGTTTCACCGCCTCCTCGTATAAATTGTACACGTATTCAAATTGAGCAGTGGTGGCCTGTTTAAAGAATATCCTGGGGTCGTTCATAGCGGCGGCGGCCATGGTGGAGACTCAACAACAGCGGAGCTCACGTCAGGCTCCGGCCATGACAACGCTGCCACCGCGCGCCTCATACACAGCCCTCATTCACCCCTTATTTACCGCTCCTCTCCCTCGCTTCACACCTTCTCCTCCGTCACTACCTCTTGGGTTCTTATAGTCCTAAACTCCAAATTAATTTAAATGATCAAAGACGTCGGTAAGGCCAGAGAAAGTGGCGTAAAGTTGCATTATTTTCTCGCTCCGTACTGGTAACAATGGACTCGGAGGACGCCGAGAATACCATTGGTGGACGCGTCACCCCGGTTCACTTTCCAGCCAATCGCAACACTTCCTCTTTCTGGCTCCTCCAATGACGCGCCGCCCGCTCTGTCGGCGGACCAATGGGCTTGGCGGGCCACGCCAGGCTGAGGCACATCTGTGGTAAATTTTTGCCAGGACGGCAGGGCGGCTCAACGTGCATGTGATGGTAGTGATATATTGCACAATGACATTGCTAACGTTGTATTATGGCCACCATATCAACACACCTTGGGGGCGAGCGCGGCTTCTGGCCTCAGTAGCACGGTCTCTCTCGAGCGGCTGGCATGGCCGCCGCCCCACACCCTCACATCCCTCACTCACACAGAACAAAGGAAGCCTAAAACCTTAATTATAAGAATGGAATATTTGTTTGCACGCTAATAGGCGCGGATTGGTGGTGAGGCGGCGGCCAGGCCCGGCCCCGCTACCCCCCAGCAAGCAAGGAAAACGTTTCTTCTTGGAGGACAAGAGGCAGAAGGGGACATGTGTGCCTGATATAACGTTTGGCAGAGGTTTGGGGGGGGGGGGGGGAGCGGGCCAGCCTTCCCCGCTCTCTACACTCTCCCTCCCTCCACACTCTCTTCTTCCTCTCTCCCTCATCTCCTTCCCTCCCTCTCCCTCTCTCTTCCTCCCTACCCCTCTCTCCCCCCTTCCTCCCTCCCTCTCCCGTTATTTTCCCGTTCACCGAGAATCACTTGTAGTGTTTCTGTCCATTTGTAACCGATTACAGTGTGGGGAATATTTCCGCGGAATTTAGGTATTTATATCATCGACACATTTATTTCTCACCATATGAGTCCACAGTCGACACATATGAGTCCACAGTCGACACATATGAGTCCATAGTCGACATATATGAGTCCATAGTCGACATATGAATCCATAGTCGACATATATGAGCCCACAGTCGACATATATGAGCCCACAGTCGACATATATGAGCCCACAGTCGACATATATGAGCCCACAGTCGACATATATGAGGCCACAGTCGACACATATGTGTCCACAGTCCATAGTCGACATATATGAGTCCACAGTCGACATATATGAGTCCACAGTCGACATATATGAGTCCACAGTCGACATATATGAGTCCACAGTCGACATATGAGTCCACAGTCGACATATGAGTCCACAGTAGACATATATGAGTCCACAGTCGACATATATGAGTCCACAGTCGACATATATGAGTCCACAGTCGACATATATGAGTCCACAGTCGACATATATGAGTCCACAGTCGACACATCAGTCCACAGTCGACACATCAGTCCACAGTCGACACATCAGTCCACAGTCGACACATCAGTCCACAGTCGACATATATGAGCCCACAATCGACACATCAGTCCACAGTCGAGTACAGGAAGCCTGGTTGGCTTATCGGTGTCTCCATAAGCAGTTACTCCCCACCTTTCCCAGGATGCGACCCACAACAGTCGTCTAACTCTCAGGGCTACCTATTTACTAATAGTTGACGAGGCATCAGGTGAAAGGAAACTTTGCCCAAACACTTCTGTCCACCCGTGGGGATCGTTCCTGGGGGTTTCCAGATGTAAGTTGACGTGTTGATTCACAGCTTTCTCCAGAAGTATATTTGTTGTGCTCATTCACCCAGACCTGCACAGGACTCTACGTTACTCCAAATGAGTAAGTTATTGTAACTTAATAATTAAAAGGCACAAGTTTGTATATGGGCGGGCTTGCATATAGGCCTAAGCTGGGCCAGCCTACCAAGCCGGGTATGTGGGGTGGGATTCTGGTGGTCTATTATTGGTTCTGGCCGTTCTGAATAGGCTATAATAGTCGTTGTTGATCAATAATGGTTCTTGGAGCTAACTGGGGGTTTTATTATATATTTTCCTAGTGAAGAGTGTATGTAACCCGAGGCCTAAATACGAACGTAATAGTAATTTGTATTATTAAGAATTTATGATCAGTCAGAGACGTTAATGGTTTACAGTGGATTATAGTAAAGCTTGGTGGAGCAAATTGGCTCCCTGGATTTAGTCTTCATTGAGTCAACAATGCACCATAGTTGGTCATTTGTGGCTCTTGGTGAATGAATTTTAGTAACAGGAGGACTTGATTGGTTGTTGGGACTCTTCAGTGCGCCATCTGGTGATCAGTATTGTCCCAACTTGGCTCTTAGTGGTAACATTGGATTGGGTAGCACATACATAGGCTCTCAATCGGCCAGAGCCTATTACCCATTACAGTTCCTATAGTAATTCACACGAGACCTTGATCCTTATAGTTTTTCATAATGAAAAAAAAAGAAATGCACAACCATTCATGATAAAAGTTATATTGATTATAAAAAAATATAAAATATAAAATGAATTAAAATTTAATATAATACCAGAGGCTTAGGGCCCGCGCAGGAATTTCCCTGAAAAAAGTAATATATACAAAATAAAAGTTGGGATCGTTCAAAACAGCAATAAACGTTTAAAGAAAACAAAATCACATCTAAAAAGAATATATACAAATAAACACGGGTTTGGCAATTGTGGATGAATGGAACAACCCTCCAAGGGGGCGCCATTCAGGCGAATACCTTGGAAAGTTTTAAGAATAGATTGGACGTACACACACGAGTGGAAACGTTTTGGTGGAGCTCAAATCCGGCGTATAAACGCCCAGTGAAACGTCATCTGTGACGTCACACTGTTTATCCAACGGATTAAATGCAGCGCTCCAAGGGCTGATATCCAATTAGAGCAGCGCTCAATGGTTAGCCCATTAAGATGGGGCAAGTCCATTGAGATGGGTCTAGCCCATTAAGATGGGGCTAGTCCATTAAGACGTGGCTAGCCCATTGAAATGGGGCTAGCCTATTGAGATGGGGTTAGCCCATTAAGATGGGGCTAGTCCATTGTAATGGGGCCACACCAAAACGTTCCTGGGACCCACGCCCACACCAGAACGGCACTTCCTGGTACCTGGCACTCGGCACTCCCTGGCACCTAGCACTCCCTGGCACCTGGCACCTGGCACTCCCTGGCACCTGGCACTCCCTGGCACCTAGCACTCCCTGGCACCTAGCACTCCCTGACACCTAGTACTCCGACACCTGGCACCTAGCACTCCCTGGCACCTAGCACTCCCTGGCACCTGGCACCTAGCACTCCCTGGCACCTGGCACCTGGCACCTTACCTTCACCAGGACAAAAAAAACAGAAGACAATATCCGCCACGTCGAAGACATCTCCAGTCTGGCCGAGTAGCACTGATAAGTGTCACACTGACAGGTGTGGCACTGACACATGTCACAGCTACAGGTGTGGCACTGCCACATGTCCCAGCTACAGGTGTGGCACTGCCACATGTCACAGCTACAGGTGTAGCACTGCCACATGTCACACCTACAGGTGTGGCACCGAATTTGTTGTACTTGTTTTGGATAGCAGTAGTGATGGTGGTATTATTACTTGAGAGCATTATAGTGACCACCAGCCGTGGTGATAGTTTGTCACGGCCTCGTGTACCGGTAGTTCATTCTCCCCCTTGTCTCATAATGCTTGTCCTGGAATGATGTGTGCTCCTGTTTGTGTGGGGCCCTCGTCCCAGTGGGCCCAACTCTCAGGGTATAGCAGCAGCAGACTCACCAACAACAGCAGCAGACTCACCAACAACAGCAGCAGCAGCACCAAAAACAGCAGACGCACCAACAACAGCAGCAGCAGCAGACGCACCAACAACAACAGCAGCAGCAGACGCACCAACAACAGCAGTAGACGCATCAACAACAGCAGCAGCAACGCACCAACAACAGCAGCAGAGCAGCACCAACAACAGCAGACGCACCAACAGCAGCAGCAGCAGCAGACGCACCAACAACAGCAGCAGACGCAGCAGCAGCACCAACAACAGCAGACGCACCAACAACAGCAGCAGCAGCAGCACTAACAACAGCAGCAGCACTGACAACAGCAGACGCACCAACAACAGCAGCAGCAGACAGCACCAACAACAGCAGACGCAGCAGACGCACCAACAACAGCAGACAGCAGACGCACCAACAAACACGCACCAACAACAGCAGCACCAACAACACGCATCAGCAGCAGACGCACAGCAGCAGCAGCAGACAGCAGCAGTAGACGCACCAACAACAGCAGCAGACGCAGCAGCAGCACGCATCAACAACAACAGCAGCAGACGCATCGACAACAACAGCAGCAGACTCACCAACAACAGCAGCAGCAGACGCACCACCAACAGCAGCAGCAGACGCATCAACAACAGCAGCAACAGACGCACCAACAACAGCAGCAGCAGACGCACCAACAACAGCAGCAGCAGACGCACCAACAACAGCAGCAGCAGCAGACGCACCAACAACAGCAGCAGCAGAAGCACCAACAACAGCAGCAGCAGACGCACCACCAACAACAGCAGCAGCAGAAGCACCAACAACAGCAGCAGCAGACGCACCACCAACAACAGCAGCAGCAGAAGCACCAACAACAGCAGCAGCAGCACCAACAACACAGCAGCCACAGCAGCAGAAGCACAAAGCAGCAGCAGCAGACCACCAACAACAGCAGCAGCAGCACCACCAACACCAACAACAGACGCACCAACAACAGCAGACGCACAGCAGCAGCACGCACCAACAACAGCAGCAGCAGAGCAGACGCACCAACAACAACAGCAGCAGCACGCACCAACAAACAGCAGCAGCAGACGCACCAACAACAGCAGCACGCACCAACAACAACAGCAGCAGCAGACGCACGCACAACAACAGCAGCAGCAGAGCACCAACAACAGCAGCAGCACCACCA